CCACTTATGCGTGGGTGGATGATGTGAGTCACGATTGTGGAAACCCCCCCCCTGCTCGTCCCTCCTGCAGCCTGAGTGATATTAGAAAGCGAGAGGTGTCACTCTGCAGTGTTTTCCTGCGGCCACAGATTCATCAGAGGAAGGACGTTCACATTTGAAACGGATGGCGGTGAAGGAGGTTGAACTTCACGGGGCAGCATCAGTGGAGCATCCTGATTGGCTTAATTCAGTGGTGTCCAAACGTGGTCCTCCTTTGCTATGACGCCCCCTCCGCCTCCTCACCATACACATAGGAACACTGTCAACACATGAAAGCAGGTAGAGGATGTGGTCCTCAGGGTGGGTGGTCCCACCTGTGGCTCCTTTCCCCACATGTCGTTCTCTCTCTCTCTCTCTCTCGCCCCGGTTTCCGGCTCTGTCCACTGTCCTGTCTCTCCAGTGGACGCACAAAAAGCCCAAAAAGAAATCTCTTAAAAAAACAAGAAATGAACGGGCTTCTTTGTGTTCGGCTTCATGTCGTCACAAGATAAAACTCTGAGGCACAACCAAGTGACAACATCTGGTGTTAAAAAGTTCAAATGTGTAAAATCCTGCAGTTCCTCAAGTGTCCACTAGAGGCTGGCTGCAGAAGCACATGGAGTCACATACACACCCATTCTAAAAAGTCTGTTTTTACAGCAGAGATGAACATGTTTACAGCCTGGTTCAAAAAAAAAAAAGCAGATGTACGCGTGTAGTATCAGTGTAGTTAGCATGGTGGGTTTTGATCAGTTAAAACTGGGACATGTTAGTGTTTTATAGATATTTGTGGGGACTCAACAGCAGCAGCATTTATTATGTATGCAGGATGAAAAGAAGCGCAGCGTGGACTCAGCAGAAATCTAACTCCTTCATTTTCATAACACGTTCAATAATTCATTCACAACAACACAAAGAAGTGGAGTGAAACCCGAGCGAGCACAAAGACCGGATGCAGATTCAGACTCCTGCTGTTTGGTGTTTAAAGTACCAGGATGAAGAGGCTCGTCTGCAGACGCTTCACTCACTCGCTTTGATACATCCTTCAGACTTTAACAATAACACCGAGCAGTTAAAGGTTAAGAGACAGACGAAGCAGTCCTCGTCTTCAGAGCCCACTCTCACAGCTGGATCCATTAGAAGTTCAAAATGAGTCTGGCCTCTTTGTCCCCCCATTACAGTATTTATATCTTTCTTTCTTTCTTTCTTTGTGTTTGTGCTGCAGAAAGTCAGCGAGAAGGTCGGAGGAGCCGAAGGAACCAAACTAGACGATGACTTCAAAGAAATGGAAAAGGTAAATCCAGAGTGTGCATCACATAAAATAAAGAGATACTCCGAACACAACAGAGCTACAAATCAAACCAAAGCTGTTTAAGCCTCAGACATCAGATTAATTTACTACCCTCTTAAGTCATTAAGGACAAAAATGTCCACTTCCAAAAAACTGTTATTAAAAATAGAACAGATTGATATTTTTTTCTACTTTTTTCTGCATAAATCTCTTAAACAACTTCAGCCCTGCTCAACACTACCAAACATTCAATCATTTTTAGGAATTTAACCTTTTAAATGCCAGTTTGATTACATGATTTCACTGTTGTTATTTAAGAAAAAAAACACAAAAAATAGTTATTTTCCATATAACAAATATTTGGTGGCTGGGGGATTTTTCAGTCTTGGATATGTCAAAGATTATCCAAAATATTGACTTAGATGCATTGTTAGTTTTTGAGTAGCATCAGATTTAAAATGTAGTTCCATGTTTGGACATTGGAGGGCGAAAATGTGCCAGTTTGATTACATGATTCTGGCATTTAAAGGGTTAAATTCCTGATAATTATTCAATATTTGATAGTTTTGAGCAGGGCTGGAGTCCACAACGTGGACATGAAGAATAATCGATCCCTGCCTCCATTATCAAGAAATCCCAGAGTGTTATGTCCGTATCTGACAGTTTTATTCACGTTACCGTTGCATATCTCTCATTATTCTTCTTGATGTGTTTCCCTCTGTAGAAGGTGGACGTCACCAGCAGAGCAGTGTTGGACATCATGACCAAAACCACAGAGTACCTTCAACCTAACCCAGGTATGAAACACACAGTCCAGCTACATGTACTCTGAAACAACAGCAGCAGCAGCAGTCGTTTATAATCCAACCCCTTGCGTCCCTGCAGCGTCCAGAGCCAAGCTGAGCATGATAAACACCATGTCAAAGATCCGCGGGCAGGACAAAGGACCCGGCTACCCGCAGGCGGAGAGCGTCCTGGGAGAGGCCATGTTGAAGTTTGGACGGGAGTTAGGGGAGGAGTCAAGCTTCGGTGAGTGACAATGTAAACTATGTTGATGCTAGTTTTGCTAGCTAAAAAGCTCCTCAGACATTCATTTCGGTCACTACCCATTGTTACCAATTATTTTCAAACTTTGCCAAACTCTTTATTCCCTATCCCTGAAAAGGCCACAAGCTAAAACTCGCGATCTAACAGCGTTGATCTTTGAATTACAAATGTTGACAGAGCTTTCTGACCTCTTCAAACTCTGATTTCCCGATCGCCTTCGACCTCTCAGGTTTGGCGCTAATCGACGCCAGTGAATCGATGAAGGAGCTCGGGGAGGTGAAAGACGCTCTGGACATGGAGGTCAAACAGAACTTCATCGACCCGTTGCAGAACCTCCACGACAAAGATCTCAAAGAGATACAGGTAAACAGAACGCCTGTGATTGGATCCCAGTTACATCATTACCTGATACCAGTCATTCTTAATATGTCTATAACTGGACCGGGAGAAGTTATCTTAATGAGGCACAGTTGTTCTTATCCTGATTTTTTTCCATCGTTTAGCACCATTTGAAGAAGATGGAGGGCCGTCGTCTAGACTTCGACTACAAGAAGAAGCGCCAGGGGAAAGTCCAGGACGACGATCTCAAACAGGCGCTGGAGAAGTTCGACGAGAGCAAAGAGATCGCAGAGCAGAGCATGTTCAACCTCCTGGAGAGTGATGTAAGGACAGTCTCATCTTTTTTTTTTCAGGTTTTCATCATCAATGAATCTGAAAATTACTATATTGATTTGTGGAAAAGAATGTATTTTTTGGCAAAGAGAAATCCAAGAAAAACATTTACTATCTTTGAACTGTTTGTCAGAAAATAATCGTTGCAATGAGTTGAGGCTCTTGTTGACTTGTAACATATTTTGCACCAGTAAAAAAGAGTTGTGGATCCACAAGCAGTTTAATGTAGTGTGGTTTGTTGGTTTTCAAAGAACAGGACAGGAACAGAAATGGGTTAATGTAAGGATGTGGATGCAGACAATTCCAGTAACCCATGAGAGAGTTCAGTTAGTGATGAAGCTCTGGATGTAGTTTCAGAAACTGCAATGTGAGGGCTGCCAATACTCTACCAATCTAACACCTTCTTTTTAGCTCCCTTTGAGCGCAAAAAGTCAAACTCTAGCTTCACCTGTCCATTTCAGGGATGGTTAAACAGAACTTTATGCAGAGGCATGTTTCTGACACCACTTCTGTAGACAGTAAGGCAGGTTTGGTCATTGACATCTTCTGTGTAGCTCCCGTATGTTCTGACCTGAAAGACCAAACCAGTGCTAAACCATTCACGGGTATGGTAAATGGTAAATGGACTTGAGCTTATATAGTGCTTTTCTAGTCTTCCAACTACTCAAAGCGCTTTTACACCACATGTCACACCCACCCATTCACACCCTTTCACACACTGATGGTAGTGATGATCGCTATGTAGTATCATCCATCAGAAGTAACTAATGCCATTCACACCGCCACCGAAGCAGCGGGAGCAATTCAGGGTTAAGTGTCTTGCCCAAGGACACATCAGACATGTTGCCCAGCTGGGGATCAAACCCTCGACCTTCCGGTTGAGAGGCTACGACTCTACCAACTGACCTGTGAGGCGTTATATCCCAATGGCATTGACCTTGTTTGCACCCTAAAGGTCTGAATTATTAAATATTCAACATGTCTATTGTTGTTGTTGACATGGTTCCTCTGTTGCTATAGTTGCGCCAACACTTCTCGACGGGATCCCAGTATATTCAAAACTGCAATAGAATAACAAAAGGGCAGCAACCCTGAGCCGTGCTGTGCCAAGCCATACCCAGGCCCAGTGGGGTGCAGAACAGAGCTATGTAAGGGGGAAAAACAAGGTGTGTATGTGTGTGTGCTGCAGATAGAGCAGGTGAGCCAGCTGGCAGCGTTGGTTCAAGCACAGTTGGAATACCACAGCCGCTCTGCTGAAATCCTCCAACAGCTCTCCAGCAAGATGGAGGAAAGGTATTGATCCATCTGCCTACCTTTTGGTAAAAAATAAACCGACAGAAATAGACTGATATGATCTGAGAAACCTTGTTTTAACTGTGTATGGAACTTCACCCAGGATCAAAGAAGTGTCCAGTAAACCGAGGAAGGAGTACGCTCCCAAACCCAGGATGACCCTGGAGTTGCTGCCCCCCAGCGAAAGCCAAAATGGGGGGATTCACTCTGCCAAATCGCCAGGAAGATCACCAGGTAAAGGACAGAAGTATATACTCAAATGATGAATGATTGTCTGTCAGTCTTCTGCCAGAATCTGATTACTATAAAATTTTCATCCAGCAAACATGGGGGGGCATTCAGGAACTAAACACAGCATCGTCCTGCACAGCTATCACGTTGTGTCCCATGTATTGTGGAAGTCCAACATGGAAGAAGATTTGTTTGGTATTCACCGATAAGAACACAGCGCCATTTATGTTGCACAAGGGCAAGCTATGATTGGTCTGGATCCAGTGTGAAACCATGAAATGCCTCTTGGCCAATTAATGCAAAGAACTTATGGTCCTTTTTTCAGACCAGTTAATACATATTTAGGTTCCAAACCCACAACACACAAGACTCAATTGTCCTGCAATCGGCATTAAAACGACCCTCAATAGGGTCTTGCAACATGTCGGACCATAGGACTCAATTAAACCTGTGTTTGTTTGTCCCACCACAGCCCCCATGGACCAGCCATGTTGCCGAGCACTCTACGACTTTGAACCAGAGAACGAAGGCGAGCTGGGCTTCAAAGAAGGCGACATCATCACCCTGACCAACCAGATTGACGACAACTGGTACGAAGGCATGATCAACGGCCAGTCGGGATTCTTCCCAATCAACTATGTGGATATCCTAGTGCCACTCCCTCATTAGGTACCGCCAATGACCTGACCTTTTCCCCCCCAACCAATTCAAGACATCCCCAGAAACAGCTTGTATTTGCGTAAACAACAAACCACGCCCTTCTACTTCTGTGCTTCTGTGCGATTCCGCTTTCACAAAACGTACTGAAACGACTGCGACAGAGAAAGAGACAGGATGGATAAGCTGGGGCGGTAGTACAGTGATTCTCGGACAGGAAGTGTTGGGAGATGCAGAAGAGAGGAATTCAAAGAGATGGTGATCTTTTACTGCACAGTGCTCACTCAGCAGTGCTCCGCTCGGCCAGGCAGCACCGGATCCCAATGAAGCATCGGAGACTTATGAATAAGGCACGGTGTATATGTACGTGCATGTGTGTGTCTTTATGTGCGTTTTGACCTGTTCTTACTCTACTATGATCAAGCCAGCACAAATTCCTGCTCGACGGTTAAACTGCCTGACAGCTTTCTTGGTGATACTGTCTTCTTGCTGTATTTCTCTAAAAGTTCTTCTGTCTTTTCTACCTTGACATGCCTTCTTTTTCTCTTCTTCAGCCCTAGATTTCTGCACTTTCTATCTTTGTTCCTTCCCTCCTTAGCTAGCACTGCCTTTCAGCATGGCTCGATGACGTAAACAGACCTCTAACCCATGATCCAGACTTAACAGTGGGTCATCCGACCCTCCTGTTTTTGTTTTACTCAGACTTTTCTAACATACTAATTTTTTCAAGAGTCTGCATTGAATCTCCACTTAGTGGCTGTATGCATGAACAGCCAATCAAGGAATGGGGTGATAAAACACCTGCAAAATGCAGTTCTCAAAGAGGTATCTTCAGGATAAAGCAGTAACTGCAATAAGTAGCTTTTCCAGAATGAAGGTGAGAATACTTGTTTGGAAACCCATTGATCTTATAATGGGGAAGGGGCAGGTTTTTAAGGTTTTCGGGTCAGGAAACTAGTTAATTCTGTCATTCAGCATTTCAGGAAAAGCATTGAAGAGGGAAGGTTGGGGATGATCAACCCGACAGCGGCAATATGCTAACACAACCAGCACAGGCCAGTTTTTGATGGGCATCTGTATACTCTTCTAAGTTACTGGATCACAGTGTTTCGTACGTACTGTGTGGAGTAAATGCTTGTCGATTTGTTATATCTGTGGCTTTTGCATGCAAGACTGCGTGACGATGTGTAGCTGTTCTAAAGGTCCTGTTTTAAAGTTTTCTACCTTTAATTCGTTTAAGTCCAAACATACCATACTCTCTTCCAAGATCCCTTAACTCCAGTAAACATTGGATACCTCAAATATATTCTTGAGTGCTGACAACATTGTGAAACCTTTGAATCATCTCCAGCTCTCTATGTCTTGGAATCCACCAATGCCACCTTGGCATCAAGTACAGTATAACAGTTAGAACTTGTTCTGATCTACAGAATTTTAAAGAGTCTTGTTGAGTCTTGACTCATCATTAAAGCAATTGTGTGTAGAGTGAAAGAGGTAGATCTGTTGGCTGAAATTATGTCTTGGATCCATCTGGTACTGTCTGGCAAAGACTTAGCTTTGAGTATGTGCCAGTTCTCAGTCATCCAGGTTACCATGGTAATTAAATTCTTGATCCAAAGAGTCAACAGGACCTGGTTCAAGGTCTTGAAGACGCCTCCAGAAGGCTTCTTCAATTCTCTCTTTTTTAAAGATTTATTTTTTTACTTTATTGCCTTTATTTGATGGGACAGTGGATAGAGTAGGAAATCAGGAGGGTTGAGAGTGGGCGATGACATGCAGAAAGGGTTGCCACAGGGACGGACCTGAACCTAAGACGCCTTCTTGAGGACTACAACCTTCATACACTGGCGCGACCACACACTTTTAGAGTCTTTGGCTCAGAGGATTTTATGTTAAACTTTGTCCACCAGTCAGTTTAGAACTAAAGAAGCCTTTTAGGGGAGAGGTAAATCATCTTGAAGCCCTTGAACCAAGTCCAGTTGCCATTCTAGAAACTTTGATACCGAAGATTCCGAGCCCTTTGCAATCCTGCAATTGTTCTCTCTAAGATAGTTGATGGTGTGACGCAAGAAGCTTTGAATTCCAGACAGATCCTGATAGGTTAGTTAGTGGTCAGTATTGGTGGTAACTATTAGCCGTGCACATTCCCTGGTTTGTGCATCACAGACGTTGTAAGTCGGTTGGTGTGGGGTTTTGTCTTGGGTAGCAGCAGAACATTTTAACGTCTCAGCTAATGGCGGAAGCATTTAGCTCTAGCACTTGTTGGCTGTAGCTAGTGTCAAGACAAGTTTACAGGGAATTTCTCTTATAATTAGAGAAATAACACCATTTCAGTCAACACTAACAGTGATGGAAATGTTCTACCAGTGTTAGGATATTTTAATCTTTTCCTTGTTGGAATGAGCATTCAGTATGGTGCTGGGTTTTCATGAACTCCATTGTACATTAAAACAACTGAATATCAGATCCATGCTAATTCCAGGTTTTTTCAGCTCTGATGGAAAAGGAAGTCAAACTCTTGTTCTTAATTATCTTACTAATTACATCTGTAGTTCATGATGTACTACTCTATCAAAGCATTATCAATTACATCGTACAGCGGCAGGAATTTGTGCTAGCATCGCTAATACTAATGTGCCAGACTTGGCTAACCAGCTAGCCTTTAGCTTCACATTCCTGTATTTGCGTGCGTAAGTGTTGAGCAGAATATCTAAAGAAAAAAACTTAAAAAATGGGTAGATGCCTTAGCTTTGTATTCTCAAGAAGTATTCTGAATTATTGTATTTGGTCACAAAACTCAGTTCGGAAATCAGGCTAACGTTAGCTGTTTGGCTAAATTGTGACCAGTCCGTAACCCCAAACAGGAAGACGTGTCCAAGATGCGTCGTGCGGTTTTTAAGCTACAAAAAGGGTTGAATGGTTTAGCTCTTGTCTCGTTAGTTGACAATAGTAATAATATGCCAGGAGTTCAGAAGAGAGGAGATATCTAGATGTTTTATTGAAGGAAAATAACTTTTAAGAGCACATTCTGAAAACTGTTTTGGACAGATAAAGTAATAACATGTTTGAGAACATATTTATCCAGGTCACATGGAGATTCCATAATAAACTATATAATGTATCAACCGTCAATAAACTCTGAACAGGCAATAAATGTTTATCCAACAATAAATCAAATATGGCTGTAAAAGAAAACTGTGTAACCATTAAATCTACCAATATTTATAAATCTATGAATCTGTCCGTCTATCTAAAGAGCTTTAGTACGTAGACATCTCTTCCATTGCCAAAGCACATAAGAGAAAACAACAGCAACAGTACTATCACAAACAACATAACGCTCGCTCCCTGGTGTCTCTGACATTCACTGTTTTCTGTAGCTGTTACAGATCATTGTAGAAGACGGGGGAACTGAATTATAACTGTGTTCTTTGATTTTTCTCTGTTTTTGTCCGTGTTCTGAGTCTGAATCCTTGATTTTCTCGGTCCGCTTGTGGAAAGTCTGTGAGCTGCATGCAACTGAACCGCTTTAAGTCTGCAGTGTGACATGGTTGTAGAACAAAAACTAAAAGACAAATTGTGTCCTGCTGGCTTTTTTTTCTCACACTGCAGTGAGCCTGAGAATCTCCATCTCCCATTCTCCAGTTACTGTGTTTGTTTTATTTCCTCTGAATTTGTTTGGCTATATTTGTATAGCACTCCTCATTGAACTACAAAGTGCTTTAAGACCTTTTTGAATTTCTTGATGATATAATGTTATTTATTTTGCACCTTAAATGTCAGCATTTATTTGTTGCACTTTCCTTGTTTTTCTTTTCTTTTCTTTTGTGCTGATTTGCCCTCAATGGCGACATGTATTCTAACCTCAATGAGGGACTTGTACAGTGTTACACTCCATTTTCCCTTTTCACCTTAATGAGGGTCAGACCTCGGCCACGTTATCTGCCCGAGTCTAATTTCAGCGTTGCTCTCAGATTGTCAGATCGAACTCCAAACCAAACCAGCAGACAGAAGTTACAGTTCTCACTTCTTTCCTCTGAGGCGAAGCAGCTCTGAAAGCAGAAATAATCTCATTGATTTCTAAGAAATCCCACTTTATCTTACAACTCTTGGGAGACATTTTAAGGGGCTGATGGTCAGAGAGTAGTATAAAACTCCAGAGAAGCCTATTATTATTGTTGAGGGTTAAATGGGATATTAAGAAGGCATTATGAAGATATTTTATATCAATAACTTTGAAAAAAAAGAAATCACACACTATCTGCTTAAAAAATCCCTTATCTACTCTCCTATCCATTTACCATTTTTGCTTTTTTGCTGAGTATTATATTTAAAAAATGTATATAACTTTTGTCCATTTATGTGATGCTAGCAGCAACTCGTTAGCTTAGCTGAATTCAAAGACTGGACACAGTTGTAAACAGCTAGCATCTATTCAAACAGTATACAGTGCATCCACTGGTTGGAAGAATTGATTAAAAATCTGAAAAAGTTCAGAAAAGCTGATCTAGAGATTATTAAGCTACATGAAACCGCAGTGCAGCATAGCATAAAAACTAGAAACCAGGAAATGGTTAGCCTTGTTTTGTCCATAGGCTGTAACTTTAACGCACTAGTTGAAATAGTAGTTCAACCATTTTGTAAAAAACACAACTACTTTTCATGTCTGTGAAATATTAAGCTAAGGCCAGCAGCTGGTTAGCTTATCTTAGCATAAAGACTAGAAACAGGGGGAAACAGCTGGCCTTTGGTATGTGGTTCAATGAATAGTTTAACATTTTGGGAAATACGCAACCACGCCTTCCTGCTGAGAGTTAGGCCAGTAGATCCATACCACACTCAAGTAGGCAAAGAAAATATTCATCTAAAGGGCCAACAGCTGTTTTAGCTTAGCATCACATAAAGACTGTAAAAAGGCAAAACAGCTAGCCAACAAGCTCCTCTAAAGTTCATTTTTGACTTAATTCTACCATTTTTAATCCCTACAAAATATGACAGAAGAAATTGACACTTTCTTTTTTCTTGTAACTAGAGATAAAATCATATATTTTTTTGTGGGCACTGTACGTCTGATCTTGCAGGGCAGTAATATGCTGGGTTAGCTAACTCAAAAGCCCCGCCCACTTATGTCTACCTGAAACGATGAGATAACTCCTGCTCTGTGGGCCGTTCCGCTTTAAACACACAAACCATCTGCAGTCGGGTTCAGGGTGTTTACACGTGGCCTTGGTCTCACCTGTGTTACATGATACTATGCCTTTAGGCTGTATGAAAAAGCCCTTTGCCTATGGACCCTGGTGTCTGCTGGTGAGCTACATGTGTGTATATGAGTATTTACACACTTTGTTGCTATTTATTTATTTAATGTAAGTATTGATTTTATTGATTTATTTATTTATTGATGCCCGCATCCTGTTCATTAGTTCGGCACCTGCGGCATATTTTTAGGACTGTCAAAACATTGGTGTATGACGATGTGGAGGAGGGGAGGGCAGGGAGGGGGGAGATAGGGGGGAAGGGGGGGAGGGGGTGTGTGGTCAATGGAAAAACCTAGCTGTGATACTAACTCTAACTGTTGCTCTCCTCGTTTTGGACGATGATATTATCTAAGACCACTGTATGTATAACTGCTTGTCGTGAAGATGAACTACAATGTAATGACAATAAAGAACTAACACTATAAGAACACAGCAGACGACAAGACTCCATTCTGTTCTTCAACAAAAGATTCAAAAACAAAGTATAACACAGACAGTCGCCCCAAGGCTTCAGTTTCTGTTACTAAAAGACCGAGTCAGCAGCTTCTTTCCTAAAAGGTAATATAGGCTACAGACTTAGAAGGAAACGTACACACTACGTCCTGCAGGGTGTGATGAGCCCAGGAGGAGGGGACCTGTTTTTAAATGTTGTGTTAACAAACTACTGAGTCCATCTTTAAGTTGTACTTTTGATTGTATTGAGATTTGAGTATAGTGGTGATACAACCTTTACTTTTCTTTAAGTTATTATTAAACTCTGATAGCCTGAAACATGCATTCTTCAGGAATATTCTGTAATTACATTTTCACTTGAAACAATTACAGGTGATGGAATTTAGCATGCAGGCTACAGCAATCTATAAAATACCAATATTGTTATTTGTATTGGCAACAAAGGAATAGTTGTTGACATTTTTTGGAACCCCGTTGTGTTAAACAAAATGATTTAATTGATCTAAAGTGATGTGGTGCAACAGGCTGCCATCAACAAACCAAAATGGCCGCTGATGGCGCTGTGGAGCCATCTTTTCCCTCCCTGCTGCCGTTTCCCTCCTTTTACAACCAACATCGATGCATTCAAGTCCTTCCCAGAAAGTCGGACTTTGTGTAATCGCGCGAAAAAAAAAAATCATTCTCGTCCAAAGAGAACATCAGAAAGTGTCTCGATGATTTTCATTATTCAGAGTTTATTGTTCTCTTTATATAAAACATAATGTGTTGAAAGAAAAGAGAAGAAGAAACACAAGTTTGAAGTATTTTGATCATTACAGAGTGTGCTGTTCAGACCTGCATCTCCTTTAAACTGAGTACAAAGATGGGATCTTTAATTTGGTAACAAAACTTAAATAAATAACCTTTGCTGATATGTTCTTCACTACGCCAAGCTGTAAAACATGTTTACTGTAAAAGTTTACAAATGTACGGCTTTTCTATAAAAACCTGAACATAACGGACTCATCGAACTGATATTTCTGAGGGCACCTGAAGGTAACAAACGGTCGACCCACTTTCCACACACGCCACGGGAACGTTTCACTCGTTGTTGACCCTGTGTCAAGTTTGACGGAAGACAATAAAGCGGCACCGGAAGTACAACAACATGCCTCCAAAATAAATGTATAAATTCACACAACTCCATACAAGCGATGATGGGCCATACCAAACTTTTTACTGATACTGTTTGGTTGTAATTTGTTTGATTCTGCACAATAATGACAGAAAATGACTGAAAACAGTCGGAAAAAAGCTGTGACGACGTTTAGTTGTAGTTCTCGATATTTTAGGAAAGTACTCAACACCAAGAGTACTTTGTAAGTATTGAAGTATCGATACACCAATCCCCTACTCCAATCATAACTTCAGATGGGACAGATCCGATCTAATATCGGTATCGGGTCAGATGTTGACGTAATATAGGATATCGGACTGATGGCGTCGATCTACGTTATGATCGAGAAAGATCGTTGGGCACACAAATGTGTGTGGGACAGCTCCTTCTGTATGATCAAAAAGTATGACTCTTACACTTCTGTTTACTATATTTAATTTGAAAACCTTACAGTTGTTGCTGCTTCCTGTTTGTATGTGAAGCCAGCACAAATGGTGCATTCATGTGGTGTCAGACACATCGGAAAACAAATTCCGAGTTGTAAAATGCACATGAACATCCTGCTCAAGTTGGAACAACAACTCGGAAAAGAATGAGGTGCCCGACTTCCCGACTTGACGTCAGAATCGTCATCAACATGGGGGGCAAAATATGTTTTGTTAATGTTAACATACTTTTTATTAACTCAAGTATTGCACATCAACTTTTTGCTCAAATATCACTTTTAACAGTCACATTTTACTGATCTCCTTTATTGCATCAACGCTGTTTTTGTTGTTGTTGTTACAACATTCAGACTTTCCAAACTGAAATCACGTGAACACACTGAAGTCAGATGAACGACTTCCCAACTCAGAAACTTGGAGCACCGGAGCAGCACATGAATGCAGCAAAAGTTTGAATCAATTTCTTCTAAACAATTAGATTTTTTAAGGATTTGTATTAAATAATTAATTATTATTATTATTATTATTATTATTATTATTATTATTATTAATTATTTGCTATTGCAATAAAAAATGCAATGGCGGGTTTACTACAGCTTTGTGTAGCCTTACACGTAATACCAACAACAAATATAACTCTATTACTTATCATTTAAATTTGACCTTATTTATTTAATAAAGTCTTACATTGCAGCTTCAACTATGAGGGACAATAAATGAATAAATTATAAGTATAAATAAATAAATGTTGGGAGAAATGCATACAATAATGTATAAATAAATAAATAATTAAATAAATGAATCAATAAATAAATAAATATATATATATATAAATAAATGCAACAATTCATATAAATAAATAAATATATTCATATATTTATTTATGTATTTCTGTGTCCATGTTCTATAAGGAAAAGTAAATATGTAAATTAAGTGGGCCGTCCTAACATTACTGAAGTAGGATTGGTCTATTTTGAAAAATAGATGTGTAAATGTAAAAATACAGAAATAAATTAATAACTCAATTAATGTGGAAATGTATGCATTGGTACATATATAACTGTAGAAATACGCTAATAAATGAATAAATATATAAATAGCCTTTTTCATTAACAAAGTGTATTTATTATTTATTCATTGATGTATTGTTTTTAGCATTTAGATATTTATTTATTTAATTATTTAATTATTTATACATTATTGTATACATTTCTCCCAACATTTATTTATTTATTTATACTTCGGTCATTTTTTGTCCCTCATATTCAACTACCATCACGTTTTAGAAAATATCGGTTGCGTTTCCGTTTTTTTTTTTTTTCCTGTGACAGTTTTATTTTGAAAGTCCCACCCGGATGCGTGACGTCTCCACTCTGGCCAGCTTCCCGGTGGTGTGTAACAGCGTGTTGATACTGCAGAGAGGCTCGAGGAGAAACACTAGAGTTTATTTGTTTCGCATCGCAGAGAGCAGAAACTCGGAACCTGAAACCAGAGAATAATGGACATGAAGAAGAGGGTCTCGTTAGAGCTGCGGCACCGACCACCGACGGAAGTAAGTGTCCCGGTTTGTTGTCGTAAAGAGGCCGGTGAAGGCGAGCACATGGCGGGGTGTCTGCAGCTCCACAAAGTTGGCAAACATGTGAATTAATGTGAAAGAGTGAAATCCTGAACCGACATTTACTTTGTGAAACACGTTTTTTTAGTGAATTAATTATTTAGTTTTTTAGTTTTTCCGTTACCGGGGGTCTAAGTTTACCGCTCCGTTCATTAAACTGAAGCTGCATGTAAATAACTTAAATGTTTTTTAAATACAGTAGATTATTTGTGTTGAATTATTTGGGGGAAAGATTTTAAATGTAACGTGTTGATTTAAAAAATAAAATAAAAAAAACTTGCATGTAATGAAATGTGTATCCGCGTTTCCCCGGGCCCGGCTAATCTCTGGACCCGCGTTGTTTTCCTAACTTATAAAAACGACTTATCTCTCTGTTGTGGTAAATGTTAAACGATTTAAACTCTAAACCATCGACGACCTTCTTTTAATATATTTTTAACGGTCTTTTATTTTAAGATTCGCCCGTTAGCGACGTCACTGTGTTGCGTTTATGTGTCTCACATTAAACCGGAAATGCGTACTTGTGTTATTTTTCAGTAAACGCAAAGAAAACTCAACGACATTATGATTTTTCTCTATTAAATAGAAATGAAACTGCTTTCTCGCGTCCTCATCGTTAAGTTTAGGCATTTAATTGACCCATATTCAGGTTGTTGATATCAATGCAGCGCCACTAATTAGTCATAGCCCAGCTAAGGGCGCGTAGCCAGCATGCTAATATGCTAACCTGCTAAAGCGGCTACTCGGCGTGTCTGTATCCGCCCCAACAAGCCTCTTCACGGACAAACATCGTCCTGTTGCGCCGCGCTCATTCGCGGAGATGTTTTTAATAACAATACGGAAACATGTAAAAGGAGGGTCAGTAAGTAGTTAGCACGCATGCTAACAGCGTCACATGTGTTCAGGAGTTTATAAACAGACGTGGATCAGGGGTCCTGCAGACCGGGGAGGGTCAAAGTGTGGGCCGCGGCCTTCTGATGGTCGCAGAAGCTGCTGCCGACAGGCCCAAAAAGAACACAGTTAACACGGTGATGATAATCATTATAAACTAAACGACTTCTACGTTTCCAATTTGTAATTATTTAGATCTCTAACAGGGGGGGGGGTCCCAGAAACATGGGGGGGGGGGGGGGGAGATGCTAGGGGGGTCCCAGAAACATGGGGGGGGGGGGTGGAGATGCTAGGGGGTCCCAGAAACATGGGGGGGGGGGAATTAAACAGTATCGGCAGTATCTCAGTCTGTCTGGACTAGGGGTTGGGTACCTGAGGGTCGCTGGTTCAAGTCCCTGTGCAGTCCAATTGATGCAAGTTGGTCTGGTAGCTGGAGAGGTGCCAGGGTCATTTATATTTGACATTATAATGTACGGGGGGGATTCAAGAGGGTAATGCTATATAGGGGTCCTTGGCGTGGTTAAGTTTGGGAACCCCTCATGTAACACCCCACCCCCCCACATGTATTAAATAAATTGTGGGCCGACCCTCAGAAAAAGACTGTCTTACATTCAGTATGTTATTGTGTCCTAACATTTCAGTGTGAGAATCCAAAGAGAGGAAAATGAAATGCACGCTCTTCATCAAATCTCTGAAACCGGGTCCAGATTGGATCCGGTTCTTAATTCTTGAGTCTTGACTCTGTCCCTCTCTACCCCCGTCCCCGTCCCCGTCCTCAGGTCCAGGAGCTGGTTCTGGATAACTGTCGCACGTGTGACGGGAAGATTGAAGGAATCACAGGCGAGTTCTCTAACCTGGAGCTGCTGAGCCTCATCAACGTCGGACTGACCAGCGTCTCGGACTTCCCCAAACTGGACAAACTCAAAAAGGTACGAGGCGCAAACTGGGCATGCTCAGACCGTCTGGGGGATTAAATGAGACTTCAAGATGAACTGAAGTCATTGTTGGTTGGAAAATGGCTGAACGCGATGTATATACGGGTTGGACTTGTGTTCTGTATTTGACGGTAGATAAAAATGGTCATTCCTGTTTTGTCGTCTCTGCAGTTGGAGTTGAGTGATAACAGGATATCAGGCGGTCTGGAGGTTTTGGCAGAGCGGCTAGTGAGTCTAACGCACCTCAACCTCAGCGGGAACAAGTTCAAAGACATCAGCACCCTGGAGCCTCTGGTCAGTCCAACATCCTGCCCCCCTTTAAACCCCTCCCCCTCCCCCTATCATTGTATTTAATCTCTCTATTCTTGCGTGCAGAAAAAGTTGCCCCAGCTGAAAAGTCTCGACCTGTTCAACTGCGAGGTCACAAACCTGGCCGACTACAGGGAGTCCATCTTTAAGCTCCTCCCCCAGCTCACCTACCTGGACGGCTACGACATCGACGACTGCGAGGCCTCTGATTCTGACGGGGAGGGAGACGGCGTCGAGGACGAGGAGGAAGAAGGTGAGCGTCCAGATGAAGAGCCCGGAAACCGAAGTAGATGACGCTCGAATTTAAAATCGATGACTTTTTTCTCCCGTTTTTTCAGAGGGCGAGTCGGAGGACTTCGACGAGGAGGAGGAGGAGGACGAAGAGGACGTGGTCGCTGAAGAGGACGATGATGATGATGACAGCTGTGACGACGAGGTGAGTCTGGGGTCTTTTCATTTGAGCGGTTAAAGAAGCAGTAGAAGAAGAGAACACCTGGACGTGTCGCACGCTGTGAAGACTGTTTCCATCTTTTTAAATGTTGAAAGCATTTTAGTCAGAATGCGTTTTGTGTCTGCAGGAGGGCGAGGTGAACGGAGACGTGGACAGCGAGGACGATGACGAGGACGATGATGACGAGGACGATGATGGTCAGTGACAGTTTGATGGTCATCCTCGTTGGCTTTTAAAAAGATGTTTTGATACGTGGAACTTTAACCTCCAGTTTTAAATGTAAACATTTTTTGATGTCTTGTTACCGATGCTTTGTTTGTTTGTTTGTTGACAACCCTCCGTTGTTCTCCCGCAGACGAGGACTCGTCACCGACCAAAGGCGAGAAGAGGAAGAGGGACCCTGAAGACGAGGACGATGAAGACGACGACTAAAAACCCTCAGAGACCCTGAAAACCTCCTTCGACCTCTCGACCCCCCCATCCCCCCCTACGTGACCTCCACCCATCCCCCACCAACAGCTCGCCCTCCTTCTCCGACCCCCCCCTCACTGATTCTAAAGCTGGACTCCTCCTTCTGCGCCCTCGTCAGCTCCTCTCAAACTCGTCCCGACCAAAACTTCCACCTACTCATAGAAACACGTTTTAATGTTTACACGTGAAGCGTCCTGAACATTAAACAGCTGATCAGACGATCCCGAACAAAACGTGACGTTTAGAGCGCCATAAAGAGGAACCGTTTTATTTATAACCACAAAGCAGAAGCGTTATGTCGAGATTAAAAAAAAAAAAAATGTTACTGTTTTCGTTCTTGGGTTTGATTTGGAAACGTCGGCTCTGAAGATGTCGCGTTTCGTCTTTGTTTCTGTAAAGGAGCAAATAAAAACATGAGGTTAAAGATTGAAACGCCGTCGTTGACGTGGTGTTTTTCTCGCCACGTGGACGACTTGGCGAGAAACGCCCAGAGTCCTTTTTTCTCTGGAGTGCTCCGCCTTTGTGGTGCGGCCGCTCCGCGCTGAAAATCATTCAACTTCTCAGACGTCGCTGCTGAGCAGATGGTCGGGTCTTTCCTCCGTTTGATTCTCGTAGTGAAGGAAAGAAAAACGACCTCGAATATAAAACATGAAATAAAAGACAGGACGGTGTCGTTCATACGGCCGCTGTCCTCAACAGACCGTTGTCATAGAGACAGGACGCTCAGCCAGCGCTTTTCTGCCTCAAAAATAAAACGCCAGGTGGTCACATGAAATCCCTTTAAGATGCTTTTATTTTGAAAATATTTCATTTTCCCATCAGGATGCGTTTGAGTGTGACTTATTATTTAGTGAACACGATCAAATCTTTAGATATGAATTATTCCCGCCGCGGACGGAGACGAAGCGAGGGCTGATGGGAGGAGAGGGCACGTTGGAAACCAAACGCCCCCCCCCCCCCCCCCCCCCCCCCCTTCTCTGTATGACATCATCACTCTGGGACTGAACCAGCAGCTATGATGTCATCACCGTGCTCCTGAAAGACTGATGTCATCAGTGGACAGTTGAACTTTGTGAACAGCCATCCCTCAAAACACCCCCTCCCTTAATGTCCCCCCTCCCCCTCCCCTCGAGGCCGAGCACGCTCAGGGCAAACTGTGTTCTCTCTCTCTTTTTTGCCAACAGAGCTTTTTAAAAGAAATATTTTTTCAGAGAAATTTGTTTTTGTTTGATTTTGTATGGTTGTCTGGGGTCTCTCTCTCTCGCCCTCTCTCTCTCCCTCTCTCTCCCCCCTTCGCCCTCTCTCTTGTCCCCCCCTCTCTCTCGCTCGTTAGAGAGATCCAGCTGATCCGTCACTCTTACACTGACTAGTTGTGTTTTCTTTTACCTTTTTTTTTTTTTTACTTTTCTGTAAGTTAAAGGAAAAAAACAAACAAAAAAAACACACAAAAAGGACTTTGTAAATAAAATCTTAACATTTTGCTCCTGCCGTCTCAAATCTCAACTTTTTGTCCACCTCGTTATTTTTTCCTATTTCGGTACCAAAGGAGAAACTTGTCAAGACGTCACATGCGTTTTTTTAATTGTTGGGAAACACTCTGGTTGGTCAGATGGGTCCGGTGTGAAAGCAGCGATATGAAGGCCGCGTCCAATCAGAAGTTAGCCCTCAGGTTGTTTCTCGTGTTTTTGATCTCCACCTCCAGTTGAGAGATTCTCACCTGAGAAACAGAGACAGTCACTGTACTGGAGTCCTGCAGATCCAGCTCGAGTCTTTGATCAGATTTTTTATACGTAAGGTTATAAAATGTTTTAAAAGTATTTACAGTATTTTGGTACCATTCCCAACTTTCGACAATGGAAATGCCAATAAATGGGTACCGAACTGAACCGGACCGCTTGGAGGACACGGGCTAACATGGACAGCCTCCATTGTGGAGAAACCCCGGAGTGAAAGTCATTTAAGTAATTGTCATGGTCCTGTAAAAACGGGCCTTTTAGAATGGGTGTGTATATGACTTCTTATTCTTCTGCAGCCATCCTCTAGTGGACACTCAAGGAACTGCAGGATTTTTCACTTTTGCATTGGCTTCATTTTACAATACTGGAGGCTACCACTTCAGGACCAGAATCTGGGTTTATTGCTGAGTACATATACACATTGGTGTATTGGTGCTAAACAATTAACAAGGAAATAAAGCAGAACTAGCAACAACTTAAATAATACAGTATAAGAAGATATTACAATATATAAAATAGAATTTAAAAATGTAAAATAAAAAATAAAAAACAAAAGGTGCAGTGTATGAATGGTTGAGACAACCCTTGAATCAAGCCCCGCCCACATAAGGCACCCATAATAAAAAGGCATCTTTCAAGAAAGGTAGAAGAGCTTTTAAACGTAGTACAAATGGAGTCAAGGATGTTGAGTTCCACATGAAATCCTAAAAAAGGATCAACTCCATGTCTGGCTATAAAGGTATTTGTTGGTCTTTAGGTCTTAGAAAGGAATTCACAAGTCAGGTTAGAGTTTTAAAAGGGTGATGTATTAGGGCAAACAAAGGTATTCTTACCAACACTAATTTAAGACTAATTAAGCTAGCTGTAATACTTTCTTCAACATAAACAGACTAATAAAGCCAGTTCTTTTATTTATTAAAAAATATATTTTTAAACTAGCTTAAAAACTGTGACAAGTAACCAACTTTAGCTAGCTGGAAAAAAAGTTTACCTTCGCTAGTATCTCGGATAAACTAGCTGTACCATGAGGTACTAAACTACAGTTCAAAACAATTTCCTGTTAAAAGTATAAACAGCTTCTGTTTTAGCCGCTAATGAACACTGACTGACAGCCCTTTGAGTGTCTGTGTGATGGCGTTTGAAATACTCACATCTTTGTGATTTAGTTCTTCTCGAAGGCCTCGGATCTCGTCTTGCTGTCTGTAAAACGCCTGCAGGAGCTGGAGTAAAAGAGCAGGCTATTGGTGTAATATTTTCTAGCACAGTCATCTCATGTTTCATTGCCAATTAATTCACGCCTCACCTCGCTCTCGGTTGTCGGTGGAGGTCCTTCCGCGGGCTCGCAGCAGTGTGGGGTGCAGCAGTACGTCCAGAGGGGGATTTGGGTCTCGTCTGGCTGCCACCCGGACAGATCGCTCCCCTCCCTGGGGTACTTGGCGTCCTGGTAGGCCAGCTGCTCCTCAAAGAAGGCCTCAAGAGAGAAGATCAGCTGGTTAATACGACAGCAATGTAGCGAGAAGTTTAGAAGGCTTAGAAAATATCAGTACCCAATTTACTGACTCAACAGGAAGTGTTAATAGATATTTGATTTCACACATTTCAGATTAAAGTGAACAAGCCGAATATCCAGCTCAGTTAACTGGACTGTCTGAGGAGCAGGCGCTTGCAGGGTAAAACCGGGACTTCATCAAAGATCCCATGAACCAAGTGTTCTCTTAAAAGGTGGTACAATCAGAAGTAGCCTAACTTTCTGTACTCCTTAAAGCCCGATGTATCGAGTAATGGGCAGTGATTGGTACGTTGTGTAGTTGTGTCACCTCTTCCATGAAGTCCAGGTCGGCCCCGGACGCTGAACCTTCAGCAGGACCCATTTGGAACCTCAGCTGCCTCACTACCCCCTTCTCTGCAGGGGTTTCTGGGTAAGGGTTGGCTACTCGGGTCTCAGGCCTCAGGGACATCAGCACCGGGCCTGAAGGAGACACTGGTGTAATCTTATGTATCTCTAATGTATCTGCAAAGGCACTCATGTTATACTGACCTCTGTTGATTCCCATCAGCCACTCCTGTGCCGTCATCGCCGCCTGGTTACCGACGGTCATCGGGTACAGATCCTCTTGGAAAATACCTGACTGGAAGGACCAAAGAAAAGCCCTTTAACTTGACCTTCAGACCTTTACGTCTGATCTGTCTTGTCTTTAAAAAGTAAGGTGAACATGATCATGAGCTTACCTCTTTTCGGGGTACGATCATTGACAGTGGCTCCACCAGGCCTTTAATGGCGATCAGACGGTAAAATCTAAAAACCTCACAGGCGCTCACATCCAGGCCACGCTTTGGCATCACCCCTGGTCAGGAGTCAGAGGACATTTGGAATTTATGAATTAATTTAAAAATACCAAGTAGGACACAAAGCTTCATGAAGATGTTCCTTTCTTTAGTACCTCTTGGTACAGCTAGCTTATCTGAGATACTGCTGTCCAAATAGGTATTGATCCAGCTAGCTAAAGTTGGTTACTTGTCAAAGTTTTTAAGCTAGCTTAAATCTTGGTTTAGTCTGTTTATGTTAAAGAAAGTATTACAGCTAGCTTAATTAGTCTTTCATTACTACTGGTAAGGATACCTTTGTTGGTATCTTTCCACAAAAGCTATTGTTACAGTTAGCTTGTTTGTCTTTAGCTTGAATAAATACTGGTACAGTTTTCTTACTTGTTCTTAATCTTTTACAAGTTGTAGCAACGCTAACCTAATTGGTCTTACTACAACATAAAAAAAACAAAGCTAGCTTGGTTGATATTTTCCCTACATTGTGCAGCTAGCTACAAATATTTTCTTCTGAAATGATTATTGGTGGAGCTAGCTTATTTGGTCTTTATCTGAAGTATTTTAACCTGAGTTGAGTTGGTCTTCGTCTAAATTAATAATTTCTACAGGTAGTTACTGGCATTAATTTTTTAAAATGGTGTGTGTTGATCTCACCGAGTCCTTTCTGTGGCAGCTGAGATCTGTATTCTGTTAAAAAGCTGATGTAGGGTTTCTCATTGCTCAACTCGTAGTTCCGAATGTTTCCATCACCCTAAAACACACAAATGCATCACACCACAGATGAACCATCAAGTGTTGGTTGTGTCTTTAACTGAAGCCGGTGTTTAAGAGTACATAGTGTCTCAGGATTGAACTTTCACAGTAAGCTTTTCTCAGGCATGAAACGCATCATAAGTGCAGAGATGTATGGGTAGACGTGGTGCGCACACAGGTTGTATGACCTTTCCCGCCAAGTAGAGCATGTGTGTGTCTGGTCGTAGAATGGGAAAAGGACTCCTGCAGATCCATCCAACTCTTCTTCATACAAAGGCTCCGATAAATCGTCCTTCAGAACAATCAGGCATGGAGCGAGAGAGAAGCACAGACTAAATTTAATCTAATCTAAGTAAACTGTACGATTCAAAGGAAAAAATCACTTTGATAAATGAGTGTTTAGTGTCTTACAGGATCCCAGAGGACGACTTGTCTGTGGTTCCAGGGCGAGCTGCCGGTGGACAGAAGCATTTTAAACCCTCCGATGTATAACACCTTACTCGCCCTGTGGAACTTACTGCTGGACACCTGAAAGGACAGACGTACTTAGGGTTTGTCATTTTTTCATTTTCTACAAACAATCAAGACAAAAGGAGTCTTTCAAAACCCACCTGTAGGATCTTTCCCGTCCGTGGGTCCAGGACTCGAACCCGTCTGTCTTTGGAGGCGACTGCCAGTCGGCTGCCGTCTGTGTTGAAGCTGACGGACAGCAGTAGCGCTTCAGCTGGGTAGCGGTGGAAGACAGGCATCAGAACCACCCGGACTGGGTACCTGAGAACTGCCCCGACCTGGGACACATCCCAGAGGAGCACCTTTGGCAAACAGAGAGACAAACGGTGTTTAGCTTGGTGAGTGTTCCTTATTTATCTAATGGTTGGAACAGTGAAAGATTATTTTCTTAACCCTCACCATACATAGCAAATATTAATTGTGTGTTCAATCATCCAATCCACTAAAAGACACCAAACAGGAGTCAACAGCAGAATACGCTTTCTGGCATTGGCAGAGAAGATTTGGCACATTTTTCATGAGAGCAACCCACATACTCAGCTCTGCTGCTCATCCCACAAATGCATATTCCTTACAAATGTGGCACCATTTAAAAGGGAAATAAACAGGCTTTCCAACGGTATAAGATTGATTGACAAGAAGCATTGTTACAACAAAGAAATAATCTACCAAACACCTTACATTCTGTGTAATGTTTAAAGATAGATAGATAGATAGATACTTTATTGAAATTCAAAGCATCCAGTAGCAGGTTACAAATACGTACATGACATGAAACATTTATTACAAATTAAACCACAAAACCGACCCCCCCCCCCCCCATACATATATAATAACCTGAAAAAAAGATTTATACCCCTAGATGAATCAAACTTAAACTGTGCAATTAAAAATAGACTTATACAAGAAATGTACATAACCCGTGCAGGGATAAAAATATATGTGACATTTAAAGAACCTACAAACAGTTGAGGAAAAAAAATCTGTAATTAGACCTGAATATAAAAAATAAGAATAAAAAAGTGTTGACCTTCTGAAGTTGTGTTGTGTATAATAAACACCTTTGGCCCTGTTTCCCTGCAATATCACCGATGTAAACAAAGACATACTAGCAGGCTTTTGTTTTGGATACTATGTTGGTAAAACAGTAAAACTAAAATTCCAGTCCCTCACTATCATGGATTTGAAAAGATTTATATAAAAATAATTTCATATCACAATGGCAGAGTGTTCAAAAAAATGTTGTTTTAATGGGAGTCAATGGCACAAAAAAATGACAAAGGAGGTGTGATTATTTTTTTAACATAGTGTATTAAAGAGTTGAGAAATACATTTTCATGACATTTTAAAAGTCACCCCAAAATACACACGTGGCAAAATCTATGCCATATGCATCAACACAGCCAAAATTATCCACAAAAAAATGCGTCTTTAAACATAAAAAAATGCACTCGGACTACAGGAGGGTAATGGATTTAACTCATCAAGTTATAAGTGAATCTAAGTGCCCCACAGACCAATGAGGTTCCTCACCTTGTAGTCGTAGGCGGAGCTAAGCAGCAGGTTTTCAGCTGTTGGATGCCACTCAATAAGCCCCACCCTCCTCGAGTGGCCAATCAGAGTCTTCCTGGCCTTAGTGAGGTTCTGTTGGACGCCACAGACTGGGACGTCCCAGATCTTCACCTGTGTACACACACAGTCCGACATCTTGGTGCTGCACTCATAAGACCTCTCTTCAAAACAATGTGACAAGGACGACGCGGCTTACAGTGCAGTCCTCCGAGCACGAGGCGATGCAGTGATCATCGAACGGGTTCCACTTGACATCCAGGACCCTCCCACTGTGGCCGCACACCCGGGGATGCTGAGGGTCCACCCTGCCTGTCTGACAGGGAGATTCAAAGACTGAAAGTTTAAAGGTCACACCAACTTAAATCCGTCTCCAGGATAAACTATACATGAATACATACATGATGGATTGGCAGGACTAAAAAGGACCCGCCCCCTGCGCACTCTGTCACCACAGCTATGAAGCAGGGATTGGCCGAGCAGTAGTGGTTGTCATGGACGCTGCGTGTGATTGGCACCCCGTCGTAGCTGTGCTCCTTGGTGGACGGCTTCCCGAAAACGTGGCGAAACTTCGAGCAGCGGAAAGATGAACGCCACGACATCTAGAGGAGCGAGGAAAACTACACGTCGGTTAAATATTCAAACAATGACTATTTCTTTAAAGGAGCAGTATGTAACTCTGACACCTAGTGGTTAAAATAGGTACTGTAGTCTAAATTCTAAACATTATAGAGAGCTGTCTCCCCCCCCTCCTCTCTAGAGTGGATGCTCACTCAGGTCACCATGTGGTGGACTCTGAAGCTTCAGTGTTTATCCAGCTCTGCATGGGTCTGTAAACCTTTCTGTGTTCTAACCTCTCTCCATTTTTCAAAAGCATCTCCAATATTGATCCTAGTTTGAGCACGTTTCTGCTCGTGGAGCTTATTAGAAACATGCAGAGGCTTTTTAGGTCGGGTACAATCACTTCTATCTGAACCACTTCTCTTGACCGCTTCCATCACTGCAACACCTGTTGACCTGATAACTGCTCTCATATCTGACAAACCGAGGGGCGTCCAAAACGGCCGTGTGGGCCGGGGGGGGGGGGGTCTTAAAAGCGCCTACCTTCTCTGGTCCAAACAAATCCAGAGCATTCAGGAGCAGAATCTAAAGTTAGAAGGAGGACATACTGGCTGCTGCATTGTTGTCAGAGAAGCCAGCACTTCAACATAGCATGTTTCCTTAATGATCAGATAGTAAGATACCTTTATCATCTCACTCTCTACACAGCTCTCTGATTGGACCTTTAAGGATCTGTTAAGGATGAAGAACGAGGGATGGAGTATTCGCATCTCAGACTTATATAATCTCATAATAGTGTTTTGGAACTTCAGCAGCTGCATTATCTGCTCTCATCAATAATTCAGCAATTCAGTCATTATTGGCTTTCATAATCTTATCAATAATAAATCAATTTCTTCAATAAGTTCTTAATCATTCACACACACACACACACACACACACACACACACACACACACACACACACACACACACACACCGATAAATCCCTCAACCAGAGCCGCTTGTTATTAAAGATTCAGAAGCAACACACACACTTGTTGTTGTGACAAATTCCTCCTGACCTTTGACCTTTCCTCTGCTCAGATTACAGCGTAGAGAGGAGGAAAGAAGAAGAAGAAGAAGAAGAGGAACATTTAAAATAATAATTATGATCAGGGGGTTCAACATCGGTATCAGCCGATATCGGCCCTGTTGACCGACATCTTCACATTGTCAAATAGTGTGGCAAGAACGGTTAGGGTCTCGAACACCTAACTACTGATTCAGAGAAGAGTTTGTTTTATTGGGCAGATGAAGTCACCTGCTGGACAAACTCTGACTTGTTTTCATCGTCAAACATGAGAGAAATGTCGGCATTGTGAAAGTCTGACACCAAAAGGTTGTAAAATAGAGATGCCACTAGCCGAGCAGTTAGGTGGCGCTCGATGTACGGACGCTTTAGTCCTTTTAAGCGAGCGTCCCGGGTCCCATGTCTGACTTGTGACTCTTTTTTTCTGCATGTCGTTCTCACTCTCTCTCTCTCTCTCCCTGATTCCCTGAGGGAGACCTCTGGGTAGCACCCCGGGAGGGATTATGTAACCCATCCGGTCTGGGAACGTCCCGGGGATCCCCGGGGAGGAGAAGCTGGCAACAGCGACGTCTGAGTCGTCTGCGGTTACTGCGACTCAGCTCCATGAGAAGTAGAAGACGATGAGTTCCACTATTCACCATGCACCATAACTTATCATTTAGTATTTGCCTTCTTGCACATAGCTCTGTGTATATATATTTATCGTTTACTTTACAGCTCTGTTTACATCTGTTAGTCCGATCACTGTCCACTTATATCTCCTCTTTTTATATTTTGTATTTTAAGTTTAAGCTTTAAGTTGTATTTAAATTGACACTTTATATTTAGGTTAAAATGTTTCGTCTACCTGCACTGTTGTTAATTCACTGCTCTGTGTGCTTCTGAATCGCCCCCAGGGGACAAATAAAGTTTTTTGAATTGAATTGAATTGATGGCTGGATGGTAATGACATCAGAGATGTTGGTGTTCCTTCATGCTCCAGTGTCCATAAAGCATCGCTCGACTGAGGTTACCGAAGGTAAGAACACCATATAAAACTGAACACATGATTAAATCTATGTTAAAGGATGTTTTCTTACCTCAGACGGAGTCAAACTCATTTATCACCTTTACAGAGCGTCACCTTTTCCTGTGGAGCATCGTGTGCTGCTGACCGTACAGGTACAGGTGCTCAGTCCTGCTGACTTTTGTGTGTGTGTGTGTGTGTGTGTGTGTGTGTGTGTGTGTGTTTCCCTTCTGATCCATGACGTCTCACCTCTCCCACCACATTAGCCGAGCTTTTTATGCAAGACTGCACGCGCACAAACACCCTTCTCCATCTGATACTGCCCCACACACACACACACACACACACATACACACACTGTTATATACACACACACACACACACACACACACACACACACACACACACACACACACACACACACACACACACACACACACACACTGTTTTCAAAGTTTCTTTATTGGTATCAAGAAAGGTAAATTTGTTGTGCAGGGAGATTCAGCGTTCACACGTAACAAAACAAACTCAACGTTAAAAGAGCCGACACAATCCATCAAAACAAACATCGTCGAATCAACTAGTTTGTGCTGACAGGAAGTGACCAGCTGTCATCATCATCATCATCATCATCATGAAGGTCGTAGGTGTTCATAAAGAGCTGAGTCTTTAGCTTTTTCTTAAAGGTGCAGAGGAGATCAAATGGAGTTTGGTACTTCATTCCACCACCGGGGGGCGACAGAGGAGAAGAGTCTAGTCAGCGTCTTAGGACACTGCTGGATAAGACGCCATTACCTTCTCCGCTCCCACAGAACACAATATAACAAACGAGGAAATGCAAGAATATCTGAGAGGGTGCAACAACAAATAAAACCACATTTATGCAACTGATTGGCTGATTTGTTTCGCTTACAGCGGACAGAAACCCTTCACCAAAGTTAAGCACGATGTAAAGAGAGCGCCCTGTTGATTGTTGACGTTGTGATTGGTGGTTAAACAGACGTGAAAGGTTTCAGCAGAGTCATCATTTGACGTGGACGGTGCTGCTCCCCTTCACGTCTCTGAAGGCGCTGCAGTCGAAGTCAGCCAACACGGTCCTGAGCCCGGACCTGTAGGGGACCGTGGTGATCTTCAGTGTCATGGTGGCGTTTGGCTCCAGCTCCCTGATTTTTCTGTAAACGCACGTATTGGTTAACATTATAATATTATCTGACTGTGTTACGGTTTCAGTCAAACATGTCTGCCTCGTCCTTACCCCTCCACGTAGTCGGATCTGAAGAGGCCACACCCGATGACGGTCAGAGAGCAGTTTCTCAGCGTCACGTTCAGGGGGTTTGTGAATTCAACCTCCATTGTCAGTGTTTGGAACAACCGAGCCTCGCCTATGACCTAAAACACACACACACACACACACACACACAGTAAGTCCATGGTTTATCTACCGGGGGGTTTGTAATGGCGATCAGTCGTTCATCGTCTTTGGTCCACATGCTGACATGGGAGTGGTTTTTAAATCCCATCCCAATCCCGAGCCATAATTTAAAAAACAAATCCTGACCTATTCCCAACAGAATTACTCCCATGACTTTACGACTCTGCCTTTGACTTCCACACTAAGAAATCCATTTGCAAAAAAATATTTGTTGGTATAATTGTGTTCCTGCCTCTCCATTAAGTAACATTTCAGGTTATATTTTTAGATTACCCAATCAGGAAGCAGATATGCAGGTCAACCAGCTCGTTGACTGTTTAGGGTTACTTAAAATAATTTATTTAACAAACTGAATGAGTAGCAATGGTTAGAAAATGTGAACAAAATAAGAAATTAGTGACTTGAGCCAGGCCGTTTGCGTAGACTGGCAACTCAACCGAGCGGTCAACCATGTTTTCTGAGGAGTCGTAGATATATATTTTGTTGTCAAATTTATTTCCTTCAACTAAAATATGATTGTTTGAGGGTTTATAAATGATATGTGAAAAGATTTTATTTTTTTACCCAGACATTTGCTCTTGTTCTGAGATTTCTGAGGAGCTGTGCAGCGCAGAGTCACTCCCGGTATTTTCCACAGTTTTCAGACAATGATAATTATGTACAGCAGCGCCACCCATTGGACATAATCTGTGTTACATACACTATTCAATGAGGTGAATGAGAATAAACAGCCAAAGATAGGTTTTCAGAGTTTTAAATACAGCAATATGGCGGTGGAAAAAAGGTTAACCGCGTGGTTACAATGCAAGTCAAAGGGTGACATTTGTTGTAATTATTTGTGACCCATCTCACGATAAATGGTTATCTGTTATCTACTCATGTAGCGCCATCATCAGGTCATTTTTGGTTTTACTTATACGTCATGACACGGCAGAAAGACACTCTCCAAGTTCTTTTTCATGGGGACTTTAAACCTGCGTCACATCAGTTTGTTCACACTGTTGGTGTTTGCTAGCTTTTCAAAGTTAGCATTTAGCTCTCTGGAAGTACAACCATCAGAACGATCAGCGGAGCTAACCTGACCTCTTGGTGTTCATGTTGAAACGATTGAAACATCGCATTGCACCGACCTTTATAGAGATGGGCGGGTCCTCCAGCATGATGTCAGTCTCTGTCTCATAGATGTCGTCGTCCTGCTTTTGGTCGAAGGCCACGGCGGAAACCTTCAGGCTGTCACAGCTCACCATGTGTTTACTGTAGACTGAGAAGGGGATGTGAACGGGGACGATCACCGCTGTGGGACACAGAGTCAGGGAGGTCAGGGTTAGATTCAGGTTTTAGGTAACTTTGGTAACACATCGGAGTCAACAATACGTAACAACAAAACCATGGTCGACCTTGCCCTGACAGTAGCGTCTTCACTTGGAACGTGCTCTGGATGTTGTTGGCCGGCTTCCCGTTGTACCTCATGGTCTGGGCGTTGACACGGATAGACATCGTCTTGTTCCTGTGCTCTTTGTTGCTCAGCTTCAGATTCAGCTTTATGTCCTGACCGTTCACCATCTTGGTCTCCTGTTGGAAAAAAAGGTTGAATGATTTCTTAGAAAAAGAAAAGGAAACCAGAGGTGAATTCTGAATGGTTGTTGTTGAAGCCCCATGAAGCCCTCACAGCTGTTCCTGTTTTGAAAATGTTTTGTTCTGGTTGACTCGGGACGTTTCTGGGCGGAGCTGGTGTGTTTCCTCCAGCCAATGAGAGCGCAGCAGGTGAGTTTAGGAGTGGATACAATTCAGCGATTGGACACAATCTCACAGTGAGGAGAAACACTAAGCGGATAAAGCTCGTTCTAAAACGAGGGTGAACCTTGTGTTGTCTTTTACACGTGGACGTGGAGTTAGTCTGCTTCCTGTTGGACAGTCAGGTGACAAACACCAGCGGTTAGCTTGTGCTAGCGTGCGTTAGCTTGCAGTGTAGGTACAAGCAGTAAACGTACACACTACTTCCTGCAGGGGGCGGGGCTTCTGGTGGCAATGAGCACAGGAGGAGGGGCCATGTTTGAATGTTGGGTTGACAAACATTTCTACAGAGTCCACCTTTAAGCTAAACTGTAAAATATGGTTGACGTATGTGTATCATTGTTTACATTCTAGCAAGCTAATGTTAGCATTAAATGCTTTAAAGACATTTTGGTCCACACAGTTTAAATTGAACTTTTTTAGAGATATAAGTCCACGCCTCCATCTCATTCCATCCAAACCATCTTAGCTTTACCTCCTGAAATTTCATGTCCACCTTCAGGGGCTCGTCTCCGCTGCTCTCCTCTGGATCGTCGTCTGAGTTTACTCTGCTGATAGCACGTTTGAAGGATGCCCTCTCCTTTTGGCTGCCTGTTGGACAAAATACACATCATTCAGTGCATCCAGCCATCCATCCATTATCTATATCTATTCTGAGTCTTTATTCTGTCTGCAGAAATATGAGTATACCAGAATCAATCTAATGCTAAGTAGTTGCCTTAACAGTTTAAACAGCCGGACAGAAGCAAGAAGTTCTGACTTATAAGAAGTGATCACGAGGGAATAACTCCTTAAACTCTTGGCTTGCTTGTTTGATTAGAACAAACTCCCATTTGAAGAAAGAGATGTATGACCCAATATGTTTTTTTAATCGTATCGCACTGCACAATGTACTTAATGTCTGTATCTGAGAGGTCAAAGATTACTTAAGGGTTTGTCTTTCAAGAAGGAGCTAGCAACACACTCTTATTCACATTAGCTCCCAGTGTTTACCTTCTCTGTGCTTGTAGAGGTTTGTGATGTCGTTTCTCATGTTGGAGCCAATAGCTTTGGTGGAGATTTTCTGACCCACTGTGGAGGTGTCTGAGTGCATTTTCCGCTTTAAACCTCCAGTGCTGAGCTGAGAACAAAATCAGATCAGACATTCGTCATTGTTACACGTGTAAGACCAGGGAAATGTTACTGTTTATACCTCTGTGAAAATAAAGAATTCTTCAATCTATGAATTTAAAGCTTGTTGGACTTTGAATATTTTCTTAATTTGTATGTTCATGGTAAAGGAGCAATTTGTAACTCTGACACCTAGTGTTTAAAATGGGTACTGCAGTCCAAATTCTATTATAGAGAGCTGTCTCCCCCTTAGAAACTTATTAGAAACATGCAGAGGCTTTTTAGGTCGGGTACAATCACTTCTATCTGAACCACTTCTCTTGCCCGCTTCCATCGCTGCAACGCCTGTTGGTTTGACCTGATAACTGCTCTCATATCTGGTAAACTGAGGGGCGTCCAAAACAACCGTTTTGGGGGGGGGGGGGGGGTCGCCTTAAAACCGCCTAGTCACTACACATCTTACTGATTGCTCGTTTAGATAAATACCACCATGTGTGGCACGACTTACCAGCCACTTGACCATGTCAGCGTTGACTTCAGCAAAGACAAACGGCACGTCATATTTCAGGTCAGTGTCGCCCTGAAAGATGGCGGTGACCGGTGCTGGACCACAGCAGAACGCTCCTGTGGGAAGAAACACATTTTTGTGACCTTTGACCGTCTTTCCTGTAAATAAAACTGATTTTTGTGTTTCATGTGGTCTGGAGGATAGTTTGTTTATCTACACAGCCAAAGCAAGTCGCCGTTACCTTCGCTCTCCTCCTGTGGTGTGGGATCCAAGACTTGCCAGCCGTCATACTTGTCTCCTTTTTTTAGGTCTGGTCGTTTCATCCATCCCTCCACCCACACATGGAAGTTCCTGCACGACTCAGATTAGTTAACCAATCTCACCTCCACTGGAACTCTTGCAGGTGGGATTTTAAGGTTGCATAGATCATTTGATTAAATGCTGAGGTGTTTATTTTTTTGAAGGATGATTGATTGTCTGGCTGACAGTATTTGATTATGAGTGGTTGGTATGGCGGTGTCAGCAACAGCAGTGAAAAGTAACGTAGGTGTTTTTAGTCTTGTGCTCCCCGTTGAACTGACAGGTTGTTCGGAAACACAATCTGAAGTCACTGTTGTCATTTGAAAGCCTTGATAACCCGTTGTTTAGTATTTTTGCATCCATTCAATGCAACCCTTTGCACCCTCGTAGAACCAGGCTTCACTCTTGCTTACTTCCCTGAACCCCTGCTGCCACCAAATAATGTTCTTCTCCTGAACACATGACTTACCAGACACTGTCTTTGGTCTCTGAGGTTTTTATACCAAAGTCGTCGTAATACTCATCAATTGTGAGGCTGCTGTTTTTGTCGTGTGCTGACTGGAAGTTTGTGACAACGCGACATGGAATACCCAGGAACCGCATCACTGCAATCAAAAACCCCTTTGTTAGCATGCTAATGCACAGGAGTAATAATAAAGACAAACATCCCAGTGTCGATTAGATTTGATTCCATCACTGATGGACAACATGGAACAGTACCTGTACACATTACACCAGCAAACACCCAGCACTGTCCGTATTTGACTGGGTGGCAGTTGTTTTGATACCAGCGCTGGAGGATGCTAACGCTGCCAGTCCAGTGGGTGGGATGGACTCCATCAACATAGTCTCCATGCCAGCGTCCCAGTAACACACCTCGATCACCGTTACAGTTGATCTGGAGATTAGAAAAGTGTAAATGTAATCATCTGCCATTTGAATGACCATCAATGACACGTACATTGACCTAACATGAGTTATTTATCCTGCCAGTTGGTGTTACTCCATTACAGGAAATAATGCTAGCTGGCACTCCGGTCTTACCATGGCGCTGACCACACGGCCAACGTAGATCGGGTTACAGCGAGCGGACACGTCGTCAGCCGGGTCTTTGCTGTGTTTTGGGTTGATGTTCAACATCTTGAGACAAATATCCACCATTTCCTCCTCAAACTGAGCGGGAAAACAAGAAGTCAGAATGTTAACATTTTATCATATAGCATTGTAGATCGCTGATAGAACTGTGTGCAGGATAAACAGGCATGATGCAAGTCAAAAGAACTCTTATCTATCAGCACTCTCATGCTCACCTGTCCAAAGTCCCAGGCCATAGGGCGGAGGTAACCGGCCGTTCCGAAATAGATAGTTCCCTGTTCGTTCAGTACATACTCTTGTCTCTCCTTCTCATCAGGGAGAAACACCCAATCATCTACAAACCCACAGAAAACAAAATACAGTGCCGCAATCTATTTGCTTCCTTTTTCATTTCTATCATTGGTAAAAAAAACAGATCGGCAATGAGAGTTCATATGTCTCAAGCCAGTGTGTTGTCAGTGCCGATTCTAGAGTCTGTTGGGGCCCTCCAACCAGCGTTAAGCAGAGATTGAGTGCTGTCATTTGGGGCCCCCTCAGGGAGGTTTCCTACCGTCATTGCAAAATTTGCACATTTTCAGCCGCTGCTTTTGGGCCCCCTAATGTTGCAAAGGACAACAGCATGGATTTCCTTTGCATCTATTACACCAGATTGACAGGTTTTATTGTTTTGTCTTGACTGCAGAGAAGCCACAAACCTGAGCACCACGGGTTGAAGAGCACCACCAGAGTCCCCAGAGCTTTCTTTTCACTTGCCGTCGTCGCAGACAGCGAGTACCGGCCCACCGGAGCATCTGCCGGCGGGGTAACAGACAGGGTCACGATGCCCCACTGAAGGTTGGCGCTCTTGTCAATGCTGTACTTCCATATTGCCTTGACTTCACTGGCGTACATAGGAGAAGGGTTACCAAACTCAGACCGGGTCCCAAGTTTTTCTGATGGAGCAGAACCTGGTAAAGAAGAGGTGAGTGGACGTCATCAGACTGCCAAGACTCCATTAAAGTAAATCTCTGTTTAATATTATGTATGAAGCAAACAGCCTATTAGAATAGTGTCATGTAGTGTCATTGAATTTCCCTCCTCCCTCAGTAAAGTAACTATGTATGTTACAATGAACGACCTGTCTCCACCGCGAGGATGAGTTTTTCATGGTGTTTGAAAGCTTGCATCATTTCCAGAGTCAGGAGGAAGGTCTGACCCCGCCTCACAATCAGCTGCTTGGATGTTATTTCAATGGTGCGATGGGCAGTGTTGTTGGACTCGCAGTGGAAGTCCACATTCTTAATCACTGCAGGAGGAAACAAAGAGAATTACATCAACTACATGAATTTAAAAAATGTCGGCCATCATCTACAAAGGCATTTACAAATCTAAGACAAAGAAAATGACCAAACTGGTCATACAACGTTTTTCGATTTCAGATGTAGATGGATAACATGATAAAAATCATATTATCATTCTTGGTATGTTCTATCGAGATTTAAAGCTGTACAGTGTTTAGACTGACCTGAAAATCAACATTCTTTTTACATTTCTGGTGTTAAAGGAGCAGTATGTAACTCTGACACCTAGTGTTTAAAATGGGTACTGCAGTCTAAATTCTAAACATTGTAGAGAGCTGTCTCCCCCCCCCTCTCTAGAGTGGATGTTCACTCAGGTCACCATGTGGTGGACTCTGAAGCTTCAGTGTTTATCCAGCTCTGCATGGGTCTGTAAACCTTTCTGTGTTCTAACCTCTCTCCATTTTTCAAAAGCATCTCCAATATTGATCCTAGTTTGAGCACGTTTCTGCTCGTGGAGCTTATTAGAAACATGCAGAGGCTTTTTAGGTCGGGTACAATCACTTCTATCTGAACCACTTCTCTTGACCGCTTCCATTGCTGCAACACCTGTTGACCTGATAACTGCTCTCATATCTGACAAACCGAGGGGTGTCCAAAACGGCCGTGTGGGGGGGTCGCCTTAAAAGCGCCTACCTTCTCTTCCTACCGTCCAAACAAATCCAGAGCATTCAGGACCAGAATCTAAAGTTAGAAGGAGGACATACTGGCTGCCGCGTTGTTGTCAGAGAAGCCAGCACTTCAACATAGCATGTTTCCTTAATGTCTGATCAGATAGTAAGCTCACTGATATATAGCTTTTTACATTATTCAGTTGAAGCACATAATCTTTCAAACTTTCTTCTCCTTAAATGGATATCTCTCTCCTACATATGGTATCTATACGTTATGACAAAATGCTCATATATCATTTCAGGTTATGACCCAAGAATAAAACCTATTTCCCTCTGAGCCTGATTTAACACAAAAGATACATTTCCCTGTAAATAGTTCATATAATGGGTACTCACTCTTTGCCATGGCGACAGCGTTCAGTGAGCTGTTGTTCGACTGCACTCAGCTCCGAGGTCGTCTTTTTAAAGCCAATTTTTCTGAATTTCCTCAATGAGATAAAATACCCCAGAACTCCAGCTGTCCTGTTGTCACACCATCACACTCATGGATCACGGACAAGCATGAAGAGAATCCACCGATAACCCGACGGAGAGGTTCATCGAGGTTCATCATATTTACTCAACAGGATTATCTGTGCAGGCTCGGCGTCAATCTGCGACATGTTCACGATAGAGAATCAAGTTTATCTGATGACGCTTCATTATCAGTGAGCAAGGTCAGACGAGTTCACTGAGAGCACGTCCTCAACCGTCTTACATCTGAAATATTAACCCTCGAATCAATTCAATTTTAATTCAATTAATTCAATTTATTTGTATAGCGTCAACTCATAACAAGTGTTATCTCAAGACACTTTCCAAAAAGCAGGTAAAATACCTTACTCATTGTTATGTTACAAAAAGCAGGTAAAAGACCTTACTCATTGTTATGTTACAAAAAGCAGGTAAAAGACCTTACTCATTGTTATGTTACAAAAAGCAGGTAAAAGACCTTACTCATTGCTATTGAATCAATGACGGCTAAAGTAATGAGCCAAGACCTCCAGGTCTTCTAACATCATGTCCACCTTTCACGTTGTCAGGTGGGTGTGGTCAAACATTCAAAAGGTCCCAAGATGACACAAACATAATAATCATTTTTCAAATTAGACACCAGGAAAAATACAAGGTGAACAAACAAAGGAAAACTACCTCCAAACAACATTGAACCATAGACGATACCAGAGGATAAAAAGCAGAAGAGGAGAAACATCAGTTCATTTTTTTTAATTCAAATTAATAAAATCTGAGTTTGTGCAGCAGAGTGAGACGTCCAGCGTCGCTGAATATTAGCATCAGTCATAAACATGTTGACGGTTAAAATGCTGGGAATCACATGAATACTATGCTAATGCTAAGCTAATAGTCATGAGGTGAGTTGAAAAATGGAAATATTACAGACAGAGGCGTTTAAAATGTTTTTAATAGTAATTTCCACTTTGATGAAACATGTTGTTGTTTCAACTTCGTTTCATTTGTTTTTTAAATTATTAACTCAATCGTACCGTAACATAACGTAACTTATTATAACGTATCGTATCGTAATATAAGGTACTGTTTTGTATCGTAAAGTTATGATATGTACCTTATGGTATAGCGTCGTTTCATATCTAACCATTAATTATACTGACTGTGAATGAAGGAGCGGGGGAGGGGAGGGGATAAAATACTGTCTATAAAAAGTGTGATGATGAAATTATGATGGTTCAGTCGATTGAAGAAAGACAATGAGTGATGACCTGGTGAGAATCTTTAAATACCACACTGAGTGAAGCTTCATAAAACATGTTAATGCTCATCAGATATCTGATAAAGGGATTATCTGCCTGAGAGAAAACATGGACGCTGTTCAAGAGATCACTGGAAGGATCAGGAGGTAAAGTTCTGAGCTAACGTTCCCACGGTGAAAGTTTTCCTCTCTTTCACTTCACGTCGGGGTCAAAGTCTTAAAACAACAAAAAATAAACTGTTAAACAAATCCCATGTGAGACAGTCCAGCTGCACTGTGATTGGTGGATGAGTGGACCTCCAGCTGTTGTGATTGGTCGACCCTTCCCACGTCATTGGCCATCTCCAGACACTGGTAGTACCAAATCAGCTTGTTCTCCATGTTGGCCCCGACACGGAGCTGTGATTTGTGGAAGCAGCTTGATTGGACGGTTTGTCAGTTCGAGGGAGGGGCATCAACTTCAAGACTGTCAGAGATCATCATGCAGAGCTGAGAGAACGCCGGACGCTCGTCTTGCCTCTGAGAGCGAGGGAACGCAGAGCGAGGGAACACAGAGCGTAAAGTCAGATTTTAAATTAAAAAAACATAAACAGGTAGCTTCTCGCGGCTCTCACCTCATGCCAACACAGCTGCATGATGTCATAGATGGCGGGCGAGGCCAATTTAGGCCGGTAGAGTCTGTGACCACTGGTTACCATGGTAACCACTTCATGGTTCATATTCTGTTCAAACGGCATGCGACCCTCTGAGAACACCTCCCACATCAGCACACCTGGAAACACAAAGCAGAGAATTCATGTTGGTTAGCAGTGAGCGTGTTAGCTAAAGAAAAAAAAAAATGATTTCAGCCAAAACGGTAACCCTAGGTGGGATTATGGCTCTTTGTCTCCATGACAACAGTGTTTTGAGTGCCTGAAAACGCCTGCGTAGTGCAATCTTTTAAAAACAGCAACGATATGCAGCTCCTCTTTACCCACCGTACGACCAGACGTCCGACTTGCTGCTGTATCTGCAGAAATTGAAGACTTCAGGAGGCGACCACTTCACGGGGAACTTAGCACCCGATGAGCTGGTGTACTGGTCGTCTAACACGTACCTTAAAGAAACACAGGAAGGTTTATCAAAATGTTGCTCTGACCAATCAAAATCAAGATCGGACTGTGTCCATTGAGGGCACAGAAGCCTAACCCTCTTATTATCAGGTCAACAGGTGTTGCAGTGATGGAAGCGGTCAAGAGAAGTGGTTCAGATAGAAGTGATTGTACCCGACCTAAAAAGCCTCTGCATGTTTCTAATAAGCTCCACGAGCAGAAACGTGCTCAAACTAGGATCAATATTGGAGATGCTTTTGAAAAATGGAGAGAGGTTAGAACACAGAAAGGTTTACAGACCCATGCAGAGCTGGATAAACACTGAAGCTTCAGAGTCCACCACATGGTGACCTGAGTGAGCATCCACTCTAGAGAGGAGGGAGGGGGGGAGACAGCTCTCTATGATGTTTAGAATTTAGACTGCAGTACCCATTTTAACCACTAGGTGTCAGAGTTATATATTTCTCCTTAAATGTCCTAATTCAATATATTCCATACATAAATAAATTCCAGGTTTCAAAACTGTCTGAGTCCATTTCTATTTGACAGTCCTTGAGTGTTGGTGTGTTGGGATTAAATTCTACCTGGCCATGCCGAAGTCGGACACCTTCACCACCAGAGAGTCGTTCACCAGACAGTTTCTAGCAGCCTGCACGAGAGACAAGAGGAGGGAGGGACTCAGCAGTGATTTTTTTTTAAAAACAACAAAAGGAGGTTATTTAAGGGGTGTTGAAGTCGGCAGCGGTCACCAGGTCTCTGTGGATGAAGCCGTTGGCCTCCAGGTGCTCCATCCCCTCGCAGACGTCCAGGCAGATGCTGAGCAGGGAGCCCACGCTGAAGCTGCCGCGCCGCTGCCTCAGGAAGTTCAGCAGACAGCCCAGCTCCATGAACTCGGTGACGATGTAGATGGGCCTCTGGTGGCTGCACACGCCGTACAGCTGCACCAGTTTAGGGTGGGACAGTTTCCTGCAGGACAATCACACAAAAAAATAAAGATGGAGAGAAGAAGTCAAGACCTACAACATGACTGAAGTCCTGTTTTTATTATTATTTCTGCAGAGATCATCCTTTAGTTCTCTCTCTTATCACCAGCAGAGGGCAGCAAAGATCAACTTATGTCTGTTTGATTTTTATCTCCACCCTTCTGATTGGTCCTTTCAAATCTCCTGCCACCCCCCCCCCCCCCATCCTTACATCATAACTTTGGCCTCCTCGATGAAGTCCTCCTCGTACATGGCTCCCTCTCTGATGGCCTTGATGGCCACTTTGTGCTGAGCCCTCCACTTTCCGAGCCTCACCAGACCAAACTGACCGCTGCCCACCTCCTTCATGAAGGTCAGCTCGGTGGGGTTGATCTCCCACTTCTCTGGAGGGAAACAGAGGAGGAGGAGGAGGGTTAGAAGAGAGTAAATGAAGACAAACATGTAGAAAAGGAAACATTAGCTCACCGTAGCTGAAACCAGCAGTGGACGGAGCAGACTTGTCCTGTTTACTTACGGGGTACCTCAACCTGGCAACGAGTCCTAAAACACCGGAAAACAAAAACAAGAGATTGTTCAAATACATTTTCTGTATGTGTGACATTTAATTTAAAGCTCACACAGTTAGCCACATTAAAGCAACCTAGTGTGTTGAAAATTGAAGCCAGTATGAAAGTGTAAAATCCTGCAGTTCCTCGAGTGTCCACTAGAGGCTGAGGTTTTTTTTTTTTGCGCCTCCATCTCTTAGCCTCAGGGTCCTGTTGTTCAAAAGGTTTTTATCAGGAAAATTATGTAATCCAATGTTTGTCAACCAAGGATCCAAATCTGGATTAGGTTTAAAGGGGACGACTACATTACTTGTCCACAAGGGGGCGCCAAAATTCACACAAACTGAAATATTGACACAGCTGCTTGGAATGAGATATTTATTTTTTTAAATGTCTCAAAATATTTATATTGATTAAACAATTTCTTAATTTGTTCTTCTGTGTAATCCGTCATGGATCCGCCCTCTGCTGGGACCAGGATGATCCTCAGAATCAGATTTATTGTCCAGGTATGTTTACACACACAAGTAATTTAACTTCAGTGAACTGTGCTCTCTTATGTACAGGTACAACATTAAATATCAACAATAAACAGAATAAGAAAAGACTAATATTTACATGACTAAATATGTGGTGCATAGTGCAAAAGATGTGATGCATCCTGATGTGTTGGATCAAAGTGATCCTGATCCGACTCATCTGGATTAAAACCAGGTCCTGGTCTCCCTGATACCAACATGAGTCCTGTTGCAGGGGGCCCAGTGGAGGTTTGTGTCTGGTCCGGTCTGGACTTTGTGCGGCTCACCTGCTGCGTTGTGTTTGTGGTAATCGATGAGGTCGGGGACGGAGCTGAACACGTGTTTCTCCGCCAGGTAGAAGAGCGGCGGCGAGCTTTGTGTCTCCTTGATGTGGTAATGTTTTATAGCTGAGTGTCCTTCTCTGCAAAACACACAAAACAACACAATCAAACACGCACACACACACAGGCTCTACCAGACTGACGGCTCACAGTGAGCTACATAAAATTACTCCGGTGTTGACAAAGGTCAAAGGTCAGGATATTATTAATGCACCGTTATCTCCACACACAGCACGCCGCTCGCTTCGTGCTGCGTGCCATGCTCTTACCCTGCAGCACACTTGGTGTAGAGAGAGACGGTGTAGGTTCCTGCGGCGCTCGAGTCTCTCACAATGAAGGCTCCTTCTTTGTCCTGCAGGGGGCGACACAGACACACATTTATGAATACCTGACTTAAAGTCTTTATGTGTGATTTTTCACTTAACTGTAACAGAAATCAAGTCTATCCTCTGAAAATAACTCCCTCGCCCCAGGAGAAGGAGGAAGGGAGAGTTAAAAACAGGGCGTGTCCCATGAAGGAGAACAGAGACGTGAAGAAAGAGAAACAAGATGGCGTACGAGGACTCACTTCCTTCCTTAGCAGCTCCTCTGCTTTGTTCCTGTTGACTTGTTTATTGTACCATCTTCAAAAACAAACAAAGTCATCATAAAAAACATCAGATTATGTTTATGCATCGAGATGGATTCAGGCTGAACTAACTAACAGAGCCCGACCGATAAATCAGCCGATATCAGCCGATCACACGACTCTCAGTATCGGCTAATTTTAATCATTTCATTTGAGTTTCATTGTGTTTAACTAGCAGTTCTCTGTCACCAGCAGAGGGCGCTGTATGGATTACAACGAGCATCATCACTCTGCAGAGTGTCCAGAGGTGACACACGGACATGCTCAGTTACTTTCCAGTCGAGCGACCATCTTGTCTTCGTTATAAATCTTTTCCACAAGTGTTTGATAACTGAATGATCAAAACAGTAAATGTGTATTTCTATATCTACAGATCGAAGATACATTAAAAAGAAAGATATCGGCCGATATATCGGTATCAGATTGTTTTCCGCAGTATCGGCCTCAAACATCTCATATCGGTCGGGCGCTGTTTGAGTGGAGATATCCAGTTCAGAGATCTTCAATACGAAGAGTTCTAATGTAAATCAGTGTTTTCAAACATTGGTACAGAAGAATGAATAAAGTGTGTATGATTCCTCTGACGTCCTGAGACCCCCCGCAGGCCGCACACATTAACCTCTGCAGGTACAGTAACGTGTGTGTTTACTGTGAAATCATTAACCCGCTCACACAAACTGCTCCAGGTTTCCAGATTCCTTCTCCGTGACGTAGTTACTCGGGATGTAGCCTTCCTCGCTGTGGAGCACACACACACGGAGACGGGGGGGTGAGGATTCACTGATACTCACACAGAGGGGGCGTGTCCAGAGGGGGCGTGTCCAGAGGGGGCGTGTCCAGAGGGGTGGTCATGGGTTAAATATGTGACTCACTCACCCGTACTGGTTTTGTGCTTTGAACCAGTTGACGTCGGACTGATCCAGAATGACGTACTCGCCTCCTTTCACCAGACTCAGGTCGTGAGGCTCGGTGGCCGTGAAGCTGTACAACGCCACCACCACCATCTCCTCCTCCTCTTCATCACCACCACCATCTTCATCATCATCTGTACCAGCCTGAGGGAGGGGCGGAGCCGGCCGACGCTGCTTTAACAAGGTGGAGGTCACTTCAGACTGTAGTTAATTATCTGTGTGTGTGTGTGTGTGTGTGTGTGTGTGTGTGTGTGTCAGTGTGTCAGTGTGTGTCAGTGTGTGTGTGTGTGTGTGTGTGTGTGTGTGTGTCAGTGTGTGTGTGTGTGTAACAGTGTGTGTGTGTGTGTGTGTGTAACAGTGTGTGTGTGTGTGTGTGTGTGTGTGTCTGTGTGTGTCTGTGTGTGTGTGTGTGTGTGTGTGTGTGTGTGTGTGTGTGTGTGTGTGTGTGTGTGTAACAGTGTGTGTGTGTGTGTGTGTGTGTGTGTGTGTGTGTGTGTGTGTGTGTAACAGTGTGTGTGTGTGTGTAACAGTGTGTATGTGTGTGTGTGTGTGTGTGTGTGTGTAACAGTGTGTATGTGTGTGTGTGTGTGTGTGTGTGTGTGTGTGTGTGTGTGTGTGTCTGTGTGTGTGTGTGTGTGTGTGTGTGTGTGTGTGTGTGTGTGTGTGTGTGTGTGTGTGTGTGTGTGTGTGTGTGTGTGTGTGTGTGTGTGTGTGTGTGTGTGTGTGTGTGTGTGTGTGTGTAACAGTGTGTGTGTGTGTATGTGTGTGTGTCTAACAGTGTGTGTGTGTGTGTGTGTGTGTGTGTAACAGTGTGTATGTGTGTGTGTGTGTGTGTGTGTAACAGTGTGTGTGTGTATGTGTGTGTGTCTAACAGTGTGTGTGTGTGTGTGTGTGTGTGTGTAACAGTGTGTGTGTGTGTGTCAGTGTGTGTGTGTGTGTGTGTGTGTGTGTGTGTGTGTGTCAGTGTGTGTGTGTGTGTGTGTGAGTGTGTGTGTGTGTGTGTGTGTGTGTGTGTGTGTGTGTGTGTGTGTGTGTGTCAGTGTGTGTGTGTGTGTGTGTGTGTCAGTGTGTGTGTCAGTGTGTGTGTGTGTGTGGGGCGGTTACCTTCTCGTTTTTCCGCTCCTCTCCAGGAATCGGGGGTAAAGGTTTTCTAGAAACTACAAAAAGAAGGAACAGAAACCGTAAAGATGTTTATCATGTTGTGAAGTCAGTTTGAATAAATGAAGAGAGTCACTTCCTGTTTTTCTTTCACACTTGGTGAATCAAGAGTTTCTCATTTACAGTGTAAAAAACACTCTTTATATTAAAACCATCATTAATCTAAATATCTGAGCTGTGGTTTGGTGTGGAGTGATTTAAGGTCATGGTGTCCTCTTACTGTCTCCAAACAGGTTGTACTCCTCACAGCCCAGCGCCTGCTTTTCTGCCTGACGACAGCAGAGCCACGCCCCCTCCTGCCAGAACTGAGGATGGAACTTTGCCAGGATCACTGAGTTGTCTTTGATCTCTGCGGACACAAAATGAAGTCAGAGTCCATCACCACAGATTAAATATGAATGTTTCCCCCGTCTGTCCCTGCAGGGGGCGCTGGAGTCCCATCGATGGCGGTCTCCATGCTGGAAATGCTGTCTCAGTCTAACTTTCAGTCAACCTAACGACAGGCTGAGAGCTGGAGCTGAGGCGGGTTTTAAACCTCCTGACAAACCGTTACACCGCGCCCACCTGTCAATCAGGTCAGCTACACGCCTTATTGTGAATAACTCTTATCCTTCATCAAATCAAAACTGATGAGTCATCAAAACATTCACCCCCCGTACAGTGTGTGTCCATCCAGACATGAGCTAATCACACCTATTTGGTTTTTTGAACCAGGCTGTAAACATGTTCATCTCTGCTGTAAAAACAGGCTTTTTAGAATGGGTGTGTATGTGACTTCCTGTGCTTCTGCAGCCAGCCTCTAGTGGACACTCCAAGAGCTGCAGGATTTTAACACTTCAGCATCGGCTTCATGTTTCAACAGCGGAGGTTTGCTGCTTGGGTTATACACGTTCAGTCACCACGGCGAGTACCAGCGAACAGAGATGGAAACAGCCGGGGCTGATGGGACTTTTGATCCACCGCACCGTGGGTGTGAAAACCAGTTTCAGGTGTGAAAAGAAGTTTAAAAATAACTTTCCTGTGAAACGAATAGAGACAAATACAATAGACAAGTAGAGAAGACAATAGAAATGTATAGAAAAGAAAGAAATAGAAACTAAGAGAAGAGAAAAGAATAGAATAGAAACAAATAGAATAGATCAACACAGAATTAAAACAAATAGAAACAAATAGAATAGATCAACACAGAATTAAAACAAATAGAAACAAATAGAATAGACAAGTAGAGAAGAAAATAGAAATGTATAGATTAGAAACGAATAGAGACAAATACAATAGACAAGTAGAGAAGAAGAGAAAATAATAGACTAGACACAAATAGAATAGATCAACACAGAATTAAAACAAATAGAAACAAATAGAATAGACAAGTAGAGAAGAAAATAGAAATGTATAGATTAGAAACAAATAGAGACAAATAGAATAGAAACTAAGAGAAGAAGAGAAAATAATAGACTAGACACAAATAGAATAGATCAACACAGAATTAAAACAAATAGAAACAAATAGAATAGACAAGTAGAGAAGAAAATAGAAATGTATAGATTAGAAACAAATAGAGACAAATAGAATAGAAACTAAGAGAAGAAGAGAAAATAATAGACTAGACACAAATAGAATAGAGCAACACAGAATTAAAACAAATCGAAACTAATAGAATAGAATAACACGTAATAGAAACTATTAAAACAGAATAGAAACAAATAGAATAGAATAGAGACTTACCCTCTTTAAGGCTTTGGACCCACAGACTTCTGCTGTCGTGACTCGGTGCGAACACGTACAGAGTGTAGGCGTCGTAAACCACCTGAACACAAACACAAACGTGTCGTTCCCTTATCTCTCTGACTCGATCCACTTCCTGTCTCTAATTAAAACCCTAAAAAGTCACACAAAACAAAACGAAAAGAACTTGTGGTTGGCCAAAGGTGACAACCTGAGGGCTGATTTATTTATTTTAAATGTCTGTATATATTTGTCTCTCTCTGCCCAACAGTCAGTGATTGTTACTGATAGAATCGAGGCCAAAACAACAATAAAGAAGTGAGTTTGATGTGGGTCTGTACCTGAAAGGGGTATTTGTTCTGGCAGGGGATGATCCCTCCTCCGTTCTTCACGATCTCCACACACCTGATGCGGCTGAGC